TCTTAAAATATGCAAACCAACTGCTGTTCTTTATATAAGAAGGTTTCAACTGAATATTATAAGATCCCCGTGCGTAGAACGGGTACACAGCTAGTTAAATATAATTAAGTTTGTTGTTGTTCAGTTTTAACATCTACGTATTCGTATAGTAAAATATAGTCTTTTTCAGTAGAGTCAGTTTGGGATGACTCTTGAATTAGTAAAAGCGTAAGGTCATAGTTTCTTTTCAGATATTGTATGACACATTTAATATTTAATTTTCAATTTTGAGCTCTCTAGTCCATGTTAACGCTGCTTCATCTAGGTTATTGAGTTGAGCCAACTCACCAGATATTGCTCGTAAACTTAATCGTTCACTATAAGACTCATTGTCTTGAAAGTGTCTAAGGATCTAAGGAGCTTTCACTGTAAAGTCGGTATGCTGCAGATACAATGATTCAGTGTAAATGCGTGAAAAGTGTCGTGGCCGTTGGGTGTATGATCGAATTGAATGTGCGTTTAAATGAATGGCATGCTGCAATTATTGACTAGGAACGATGTAGGTGGGTCTTTAGCCAAAATCATTCATGGTGGTTCTTGACCATTTCACGTTTCTAACCACCAAAAAGCGTCTGACTTTTCGTAGGGTTAAAATCTCAACCTCTTGATATCCATGCGAGTACCAAATCCACCCAGATATCCAGATATTGTTGTTGTTGTTGTTGTGTGTTGCAATACAGTAGTTAATCTAATTGGCATATTAAATAAGTTAAAGTTAAGTAAAATTTAACTAAAATAAAAAAAAAATCATAAAAACATCTATTTGTTTCTGGCCTAGAGGTTAGCGTCTCGGACTTCGTTGTAAGTCGACATGTTCAAATCCCGGGATATAACCAAATAATACACTGTTTCAGACTGGTTTCCCGTAAATATGTTTGATTTTTTTCTCTGAACAAAATGCCTCTTTCATTGATAAAACTATATTGTTAAGACAATAATAGGTTTTACATACCTCCGTCAAATAGTCAAACGGCTTAATATTGCTCATCAGCTTACATGTTTCGTTGCAAGCTTTGAAAATGTTGTCTTCGCAACGAAACAATGCTGATGAACAATATTAAGCCGTTTGACTATTTGACGTATGTAAAACCTATAACTGTCTTTAAAAAAAGGACAAATTGCACTCCAACGCTTAACATAATGCTGCCATCATTAAAAAATACTTGTGACCGGTTGTGTGTGTGTATAATAAGTCAAAGGTTATCAATTGAAGCGTATGATTATTGACTGCTGACCTTGGTTATATTGTTTCCATGGTTTTTTTGTTTTGTTTTTTTTTTCATCGTATAAATGTATTACACAAATATTTTAAATAAGGAGGACCAGAAAATAATTTACAGTATAACTTAATCTGTGATTTGGATTTTATAAATGTTGTGTGTGTTCTTTTTACATTGATGAGAATTGTTACAGTTTACACATTCATAAATGTTGTTTTTGATTGGTTTTGAAGTGCCATGTGTAAAAATATAACGAAGAAGGGGGGCTACCGTAGTCTTAGTGGGCAAATGGTTCAATTTATAACCTGGATTTAAATGGATTTTGCAATAGCAGATGCCAATAGTATTTGTGATCGTCCTGTTAGAATGTCAATTTTTTTACTAGTATAAAAAATTAATCTAAATTATATTAAAGTAGCCCGTGTATTTAGCTCAAACCACTTCATCGTTATAGCAAAACAGTCGGCGAAGCAGCTAAATGATGACGGTAAATCGGCAAAACCAGTTTGAAGTTCTTGTCCTCTCCTCGAGACAGTTTTTGGAAGAAAGCGAGCTATTAATGTCGTTGGTTTAATGTGTTTGGCGAGCGAACTTTCCTCCTTGGCAAACGTCCTTTCCGTGATGGGCCATGTGTTTAAATGTGACAAAACATCGAAGACGAAAGAAAACTAAAGACATGACTATAATCATTGCGTATCAAGTAGACATCTCACTTATGGTAAAATCTGAACTGAAGCCTTTGATGCGAGTTTCACGTTAGGTTACGCTTGAGAGCGCTGTTTTCGAATAAATGTTCCTCTACTACTTATGTTTTAAACTTTTAAGATAACTTCTTCAGTGTTTCCAACTCTTGGGTTACAATACCAAAAAATACGCATCATTTTACAAATAAACCGTTTTATTTAGTCGTAATTGTTTTGAAGTTGTTAAGGCTAGCGAGAAACAAATAGCGGTCATATCGTACTCTACATACCATGCCGCGGACGAAAAGTAAGAAGGAATCTATAGGCTACTCTAACTTAAATTAATTGCCTATAACGGCTACAACCTTAACATTGGTTTGGAGGGAGTGTCTACCTTACAGAGTATATCCAAAACATATTGTAGTAGGTAATATTGTAGTTAGGTTGAAATGCCTTCAAAATTGAAGGTTAGTGAATGTTTCAACAAAACGAATCAACAGATTATTTGATGATCTGTAAAATATTTGACTATACGTATCCATTCTATTTCCATGTTAATGTAAATTATCAAAGTTTCGAAGGGTTTAAAAATGTAAAATAGAAGTTTTACAGTTTTAGTACGATCTGCGCGAGGCTAATAATACTATATTGTATTTGAATTAAAATTTGGATTCAGTAAATCCTTATACTGTATAGATAAGATGTACAGCATAAAATGGCAATGTTAAAACGCCATTCCATTAAAATGGCGTTCCAAAAAAAATACTTTCAGTAGTTCAATTTAACTAACTTTTTGTTAACAGCTGCCAATAACTTAAACGTCGAAGTAGAATGTCTATAATCAATAGTACGTATAACACAATGTCAACCAATGTCCAATACCCTCTCACGTGAGTAAGGACCGTAACAGGTTGAAGGTTGTTTTTTCTACCATCTCCTTGGCAATGGAGAGAACTTGTTATACAACACGAGATCATCGACTAAGCGGCCTTGGGTCTTGTAGTCACTTCTGACTTCCTACTGCGCCACCTGGGGTGGACCAGGAACACTTTGGGTCCAAGACTAAGAAAAAACCGAATAAGAACTAAGTAGGGGGAAATTTCACAACTTGTTTGATACCATTGTAATCGTCTGATTCGTTGATACACTTGGGAATCTGTTTTAGGACAGAAGGCAGAACAACAGTGGAAGTCAAGCTATCAAATGTTCACCCGTTATCTTATTGTTCTTTTCCCTTCCATTGGAAGGAACAATTAGATAGAAGGTGGACAATTGATAGCTTGATTGACAACTAAATGGAAAATCGATGATTCTCTGAGAAAAAATTTGACGTTTATCGATTGACAGAACGAGAAGTTTTTGAAGAATAAAATGACAAATATTTGAAGGGCTAAAACTTAAAATTTGTATTGATGGTTTAAATACAACTCTCTGATTCTAAGACATCTAGAGAAGCCTGTGTAGGTAAAAATATCATCAAAACCCTCTGATCAAAAATTATATCTAGAAGAATCTATCATGGAGCAGAACAAGGATTAAGGATTTGATTACATTTTAAGCTGTAGGTTTAAATAAATTTTGTGATTATCTGTTTGTTTTTTATGATTTTTGAACGATGGAATTAATATGAAAATTTCTTCCTAGAGGTTGCGATTTCCTGAATCTTAAAGCAAATCATATTTCACCAACTGATTGTTGGATAGAGATTTTATTTTTTCTTTGTATTGACTAAACTTTATACTGTTGGCTAAATCAGTGCTGAAGTGTAGTGGAACTTTTAAGGACATGTTATGAAATAGAGTTTACACTGTCAATTGGATCAACTAATTCTTAAATCTAATTCTTAAAACTAATTCTTATTTAATTCTTAAATACTGTGGATGCATTTGAGTAAAATACAAAATTCGGTGTTTTAGCGTTTGTTGTTTTTAATTATTTCATACTTAATTTTTGGTCATGAATACCGTTAGCAAACCCTGTGAATCAATCAGGAAACAATTGATAACTAATTTGGTAGTTAGTTTGCTATCGTTTAATCGTTTGCTAAAAAATATGTCAAACTTCGATAAGTGCTGATTCCTGACATGATGTAGAAAGTAAAAGTCAGCAGAAAGTCAAGCCGTGTCCAGTGACTTACAAGAAACGACTAAGTGTATCATTCATTACTACAATACTTATTCGGTGTTATAATTGTGTAGACAATAATCCATAAATACCCTCGCCACAGCAAACCTGCAGACTAAGAGAATTTCCATTTGCCTGATTGGATTTACTCTAAAATATCTCCTTAAAAATATCACATATATTCTCTATTTAAATAGGTATCATTGGTTTAACGAGTACTCTAGTATAGTAGAACAGTAGAGTAAAGCTAGTATAGTAGAGTATTTTAGGTTTGCTGCAACAAGGGAGGGGTTTTTTTGTATGTTAAATGTTAATAGTTTAGTATGAAATAAATACGTTTTCCAAAATTTATCGAAATATCATAAGTAGGTAAGCAAATTACAACAATTTACTAATTCTCCATAAGAATAACATGGGAATTTTTCATTAACATTTTTTTTTTAATTTTCTCCGTACCGGTAACCATTAGGCACATGATAACGCTTCAATTTACTAAATTATTTTTTTTAGTAAGCTCTACAAAATAGTTTAGAAATAATTTGCAACACTTTATGTTTTTAGGGGGAAATGGGAAACCCCAATTTTTTACCCCATCAAACTCCCCAATAACACCTGTTCCCATAGTCCAATCATTCCGGTTTGCCAACTCGTTTGAATAAATGTAGATTTACAAGTTTATATCAAATTTCATCAAAATCTGATAATTTTGCTCGAGTTATCGTGCTAAAGGAATATGAATTTGAACGGATGATGTTTTTGGTCTGTAGGGACCTCAAAACAAAAAAGGAAATCGGTCCCGGGTCCAAGTCTTACCATGAGTACTACGGTGATAGATTATGTCCTATACAAACAATATTTTAGTTAACATTTTTATAAAGAACTGTCTTTTACATTATTTACTTTTGCCTAACTCTAGTTGTTTTTTCTCTGACAGGCTGGTATCCTAACAGTTGTGGTGTTGCCTGTTCGGCTCGCCATCATCGCAGGGCTGCTGATACTAGCCTGGCTGCTCGCTTGCATCGGACTGTTCGGACTCTCTGAGAAAGACCTACAAGAACGACCTATTTCACCATGGCGACGGTATTTAAACACAAATTTAAATCTGTTATTGTACTATAGTTAAATTAGTATAGGACAATCGAAGCTTTTTCAATTGCTCGTTTTTTTGTTAGATATCAAAACAATGGTTTGGCTTGGGTGTTTTCATTAATCTAGAGAAAATATTCAAAAAAATCAATGCAAATCTCTTTAAGTCTTAAAATCAAACCCTCAATAAAACTTTTAACATTTTTGGTCGTCATCATGTTTGATGAAACAATCAAAATTGAGCTTTATCCACTACTTAGTAATTAAAAACTTAATGTAAACACTCTGAAAGTATACCCTTATTGACACTTTTTTAAGTTGATGGATTTTTATCTAGTAAACAAACGTATTTGTCCTTCTTCCAAAATAAACTTAATAACCTAATGGATCATAACTGTTTCTAAGAACACATTATTTATTTATACAAGAGCTGCAACAGTACTTTTGTTGGAATTGTTTTATCGATTCCTAACACCTTAATGTTATTGAATTTGTGAGAAAATTAGTCGCTGAAAACTAACTGTTTCTTAACTATTCAGAAACCAGTTGAGGTTTTAAAGCTAGAAATGGATACTGCCAAAACGTTGTTGTGTATTCAACAATTTACAAAAATTACAGTACATCAACTTGATGAGACAATTATCTTGTCACAAAACACGTTTTCGTGTGTAACGTATGTTGTGGCTTGCTGTAAAAAATATGCTATGGCTTTTGAAAACTTTAAAGTCAAAGATATTTCATGGTTGGTTTTTTACAATTATACAGGATTTTCTTAATTGTTTTAAATTATTTTTAAAAACATTTTGTATAGCTTACAAAAACAAATAATTTAGTACCTATGTTGAAGCATAGACAAATTTAAATATGGCAGCAGTGCTGTGGTTAGCATTAGTTCTGCCATTCACCGATGGAGCGCTGTGTAGTTAAAGTGCACGTGCTACGTAACTACACGGCGCTCCCAGCGGTAGACGCCAGAACTTTTGCTAACCGCAGCACTGCTGTCGGTCTATATTTCTATTTGTCTATAGTTGAAGCTTTGTTATATGCTTATTGGTTGCAGAGAAAAAAAAAACTGTAAACTTAAAATTTCTATGTTGTTCTTATGGAGAGTAAGTAGACTGTTGTAGTTTGCTCTATTGTTTGTTGTATTGTTATATTTTGATTAAATTTGATAATTTTATATTTAATTGATATGATATTTTTTTAAGTTTATTTATATCATACCAAGCAATTAACGTTTCACTAAAAACACACTTTATTGCATTTCTTGTTGCAGCAAACCTGAGTACTCATTAAACCTTATGTTATTTAGACAACAAATAAATCTGACATAAATATTTGAGTGAAAATCAGATTAGGCAATAGGCATGTGGAAATTCTTTTAGGATGTAGGCTTGTTGAGGCTGGGGTATTTACTGTTTGTTTCTGAGCACAAAACAAACAGCTGGTGTTGGTGTCTAAGCTAAGGCATGGTTTCTGCATGGTGTGGGCTACTACTTCATGTTATTTACAAATAATTTTATTTTAACTATTTTCAAGGACTCTTATTTTCCAAGGTTTGGTTTACATTACTATTCTTACTAAATGTTTGGGTTTCAAATTTAACTTAAATTTCAAGTATTTGTATTTGTTACTATTACAACAGATAACTTAGTCTAAATATCCTACGGTATTGCATGCTACAAATATTGATCAATTACAAAATATGCATTCATAAAACAAAATTAAATAAATTCTTATTAGAATTATGTTGGCGCTCTTATTGAAGTGAAATAAAATGTATCCTCCAGCTGCTATACTCAATGTATTTACACACTGCAAATAATCAAAAATGTAAGTGTAAATATCTACTCTTCAAAGTCAGCACATTGGCCAGCACATCACATCATTATTGGCCAGCACATCACATCATTATTGGCAGCTGGAGCAAATTAGTTATTAAAAAAGAATAGTTACTCGCAGAGTGTTACATGGTTATGATAATGATAACTGTAATATTTGGATGTGGTATACAATTTATTTGCTCTATAATATTTCTTATTCTTGTTGTTTTTTGCATGTGCTTATTTTTATATTTGCATGTTTAACATTTAAATATCGTAATGTCCCTCTGTGATTGATGTAAAAATTTTGAATCCGCAAATAAGTTTAATAAAATCAAACTAATTTATAGGTATTAAGTTGGCTATTCAATTTGGCTTATTTATAATTGGCGTAATCAACAGAAATCAGTCATTTACATCAGCACACACTGTGGGTGGCTCAACCCAACTATGTTCATTGGCTGTGCAATTTAAATCTGGCGACAATTTTAACAATAAGAATGGAATGCCTACATTGATTCATAGTCAAAGCTTTAGTTAACATTTCCCTCTGCATGACTTAACGATCCTGCTTTAACATTCTCTTAATTTAACCTAACACAGGGTCCTGCGAAGCATGTGTGCGTCCACTATGCGCTTCATGTTATTCTGGTGGGGGTTCCATTGGTTGCGGGTGAAGGGATCGAAGGCTTCGAGGTTTCGAGCTCCCCTGCTTGTTCTAGCTCCACACTCCTCCTTCTTCGACATCCTCCCCATCATCTACATGAAGGATGTCACTATCATCTCCAAGGCGGAGAACCTTAAATTGCCCTTCATTGGAAGTATGCTGAATTGGTGTTTATTTGATTATGTAGTCTGTTGTGTTATCTGCTAATCTGAGGTTAGGAGTTGTACATATATAGGTTGTATCAGTTTAATCTGATTGTGTATACATCATATAGTAGAACTTCTTGTATTATTTGTGAGAAGCAGGGATTCATTTTGGAAATATATGGAATTGGGTGATAACTAGAAAGCAGTGCTCAATACACAAAAGAACACTGATAAGTAATAATACGATTTATGTATGGATGTACTATGTTAAAACTTGCACGAGACAAAATCTCAGGGATTCAGTTTTTATAGAAGCAGTTAAATTTTTAACAATATAATTTGATTAGTTGCAACTTCTAAACCTTTGCAGTACTTAGAGAGGTACTTTAAGGCTTAGCATTAAAATTTTGTCAGAGAAAACACATACCCTAACTATCATTATATAATAACAAGTGTTCATGGAACTATATTTTGCAGGGTATAGGATCTAGGAAAATGTAAAATTTTCACTTAATGAGCCTTTTTGGAGCCCATAAAAGATATGCAACCCAGCTAAAATTATTTACAGTTTTTAGTGCCAATACATTTCGGTTTTTCCAAAAGCTATCTTCCTACCTTGACCTTTTTTAACAGTTTATAACTACTACTGTACGTATATTTTCTTTTATGTTTTATATGCATGATGCCTTGTTACTTAAATGCAACTTTTTAGAGGATTATTAGTTAAAAACAATAGTTGTAATATTGTTTTAGGTAATAATAACAGTTTTTTCAAGTTACTATACTTTTATTTGCTTAGTCTGTTCACATAAACACATAGTACCAGGTAGCCTTCAAGCATGATTACTATGTCATGTTTGATGATGTAAAAAGTGTTTGCGTAGATATTTGATTAGTCATATTATAATTTTGTGTGTACAAGTGTACTTTATATACAAGTGTTTAGTTGAGGGATAAGGAGTTTTAGCTGACTTTAAAACCCTAATTTAAATACAGTGTTCTTCTGAATAGATGATGCCAGTTCTATTACACCAAATTTCAAATTTACAATAACTGCCACAAGATTATGTACTACTGATTTAGGCAATGCTTTTTGGTGCAACCATGAGACTTGTTTTATTCAGAGGTTTCTTCAATAAGAATAGCCAATCATTTAAAATATATATTTAAAAAACAAATAATATTTTAAAATCATCCTGGACAATATTATGTTCAGTTGACAACCTAGTAATTCAGTCAACCTTTAAAATGTGTCAAGAGTTCACCCTTTAAGTCTAAAAATCAATATATCTGTCAGTAAGAGTAAAATACACAAACCTCCACTTACAAGTATAAGAGTACATCTCAACAATAGCAGAAAGAAAAACCAAAACCTGACACTAGCAGCCCCAGAGCTAAGGTTAGAAGTAGATACCAGTTTGGCTTTTTTTGTTTCCTGTCTTATTAGTGTGTTAGACCACAATTACAATTATTGGCTGTGCGATATAAGGCTTTGTCTTCTAACCTAGGACACAGCACCTTAGGTTGTGGGTTCAAATCCTGTCTCGGCCAGTTCTAGTGTGCAATTCATGAGGGGTTTACAGTTGACCAGTCTGTGGCGGTCTAGTTTGGTGGGAGAGGCTACCAAAGAAAAATAGTGGAGGTCTCATATGAAAGTTAATAGAATGATTATTAGATTCTTTATGAGTAGCTACTTTTTACCCATCCTTATTCCTCAATCTACTCTGTGTGTGGGTGTGTGTGTGTGTCCACCAAACAATTTGTTTTATTATTCAGTTTATTGTGCTCATAAGATTAATAAAAAATTAAATGATGAGTAAAATTGCATCATGGAATCAATTAAATATGCATTGGGTTCAACAGGATTAAGAGAGACTCTACTTTACTTGACATATTTGTAACAACTAATTATCAACTTTTAAATGATTAATTATTAACGTGGTGATAGCTTCCGGCTTTTCTGTGTTATGGTGGCATTGCATTGTTAAAAACTATTCATAAGTATAAATAATTAATTACTGGTCTTTCAGTTTTGGTTTTAATCTAATATCTAATGTAGAGGGCTGTATAACCGAACAAGCGAAGGTTCCCCTATTGGGTCTGATGATGATTGTAGTGTCCAATCAAAATCGATCACCACTTGCCTTCTTTTATATAATGTATTTACCGCCTTGTAAGTAAACAGTATAAGTGTAAATATATTATTACAAGTATTATTTGAAGTATTTTTTGTACTTCCATTTGATATATAACCATCTATTCTGCATTAAAATAAAATTAACTGAATACCTGAATTCATGTTATATAGATAGTAATTTTTACATGGTTTCTCAGGAATTATTCCTTTATCAACAGAATCTTGTATACAATATTTCACACAATTGTATTTTTTTAGGAAATATTGCTCACAAACCATATTAACTTATGATTTCAATAATCATGCACAAAAAGCTTGACCCCTCGTGGCATTTATTTGCATGCTTTATTGGCAGGAGCATGATCATATCATTATTAACCAATGCATAACATATTTCACTTTTATGTCCTTGTTGTATTACTTTAACAACCTGAGAGAATTTTAGGTTCAATGTAACTTCAAAGCCATTTCTATGAGGCCAGTTTTTAATGTTTGTTTTTAACAGTTTAACCAAATTATTGAAAGCACTTTAGGATAAAGATAGAGTATGTTTATGTATTTTTTATGAAAATAACTTATGCATGTACTTGTATATGTACCCTGCTTTTGGTTTTGAGTGGTTGGTTTGTTATATTCTCAGGGAATATCAAACATAATAATCAGCTAAGCTATCTTCCTCCCATCACCTTTAACTTACATCTATAACAGCCTTAATACCTTTGCCTCAATGCCTTAAACGAGAACAAATCACCTTAGTCACATTATTTCTTGTGAATGACTTGCGATGTAGGGATACTTGTGAAAGGGGTCTTTAAATTTTATTTTAATTGTTAAAGGTGATTCAAACAGAGCTAGAGATTACCATGATGTTTTGTCAACCATTTGAAACAAATCTAATGATTACATGGAAAAAATAATTAAGAAGTTTTACTGCCAAGTAATTTTTATATTAGTAGTATTTTAAACAAGTACACCAATCTAATTATTACAGCACATTTTGCATATTTGTTATCCTTGAACTTCTGCAGTTTTTTTTATTATGATTCTAGATTAATATCTTTTTTAGACATTTAAATGTCTGGTGTTCTAATGTAATCTCAAAAGCAAGTTTACCATTTTCCATTTTTACTACAGTTCATGTTTGTAACCTGATCTATTTTCCTGATCATGTCACGAACAAAGATTACATGGTTAATACACAAATTAGTAGGGTACCAAAGTTCCTTCTTAACGTTTGGAAGAGGATAAATTTGATAAAAAGAGGAAGGATAGAGAATCAATTTGATTGTTTCAAACTAATACAAATTTTGCAAACTATAATCCTGGGCCACATTTAAAAAGATTTGATATTTTTTTATTTAATAAGTGTGGACGTTACTACTTATAATCTTGCAAAATGTCTTCTATTTAACAGTTAATTTTCTGTTATCAAATTGATGTCTATTTTTCTGAATGTAAAAACAACTTCTGGCAGTTAAAATTCAAATTATATCAATTCTGCTGATTATTCCCATGGATAATGTATTAAAACCGAATGATATTTCCCTGCTATGCCCCTTGTAAGGACTAGTGTTTTACAGCAAGATCCGAGACTTGGTGACGTGGCTTGGCTGCTGGACGTATTACGCGGGGGGCATGCGCTACTCAGTGCGGGGCAGGCAGGCACCCCGCCATGAAGCCCCAATCTTAGTCATCGCCCCCCACTCCACCTTCTTTGACGCAGGAATCTGCTATGTCACTGGCTTCCCTTCCATCATTGCAAGACGAGAGAGTGGTCTTCACCCCTTCATGGGCAGTACGTGTTATGGTTTTTGTGGTGGTGGATTTGGGAATAGAATCGATAGTTGAGCTAAGCCATCGTAATATATTTTATGAGGATGTTTAAAGGTATGGGGCTAAACAAGGTTTTAAGGATAGTTCCTGGGATAGCAGGCTTACTTGGATGGGCCAAAGACACACACAGGCTCACAGGCACAGAAAACGCAAAAACTGTACACCAATACCAATACTTGTTATCAAGGCAAACTTGCCAATAAGATATCTATAGGTAAAGCTGCAGTCAATTTGCTGAACAACTCAATATTATTAAAATTAAATTAATTAGTTTTTATATTTTATCTACTGTGTGTTCTACTTATGCAGAACAAAAGGTTAAACAACTAATGCAAACCCACCATTATATTTTAATTATATAGTTTATGGGCTTTTTGTACAGTAAGTGTTCTGACTGGACTACATTTCGGGAGGTAAGGATACTCCTCTTGCTTGCAAAGTGACCAATACTATCTTTATCGATAATCTGAAATTAACCATAAGTCACATGAAAATGGGAAGAGTTTGTTTAGGAAATCAAGTCCATAACAAATTGTAAATTAACTTTAAATGCATTGCACTATTATAGCACAGTCTCAGCTATTATGGACCATAAAAATAGATTTATTTGGAAATTCTTTTATCAATTCCAAATAGCAAAAAAAATTTATACAGGAGTATATAGAGATGTAGTGTTTACTAAGTGATGTTATACCTTACCCCTTGCATTTGTATTAAATGTATTTATTTACTTTATGTTTTTACTGTATTCACAATTTACCTAATATAAATCTGTTGGGTATTGGTATTACTTAGGTATGATTTACTGTATCTAACATACCTAAAAAAATAAATTGTATAGGAACACCCTCAGTAACTTAATATTTATATATAAATTACAAAAAAGTAAATAAACTAGTACATTTTGAATAATTTGTATTTTATAATCTAACAAACGTAAATAACATTATTGGTATACAAACTTGTGTTTTGTTTTATTTCCTGATGTCAGTAAAGGAAAAATAATGTCATATACTCCAATAAATTTAGTACAAACAATGCAATGCCACCTGTAAGACATGCTGCAAGATTTATTAAACAATCAATTTGTAACATATTGATAAAGTAAAGTATTAGAGGATCGGTTGGTCCAGTGGAGAGAGCGTGGGCATCTGTCTTGGGGTTCTGGGTTCAAATCCTGCCGATAACCAATAGTATTTTCTATTGTCTGATATGTGAAAACCGAATAGTTCAGAGTCCATCTGTCTGGAAAACAAAAGATAAAATATATTTCTCAGGCAGCAGCAACTCCGTATTTATGTACATTAAATATATTGTGTGCTTCACGCTTAAAATTTCAACAAGAACCAGGCAAATGGTCCAGCTGAAAGACTGTTCAACTAGCAATCAGATTTGATGGTCAACCAAACTAGAAATTCCAATGAACTACTTCTTGCAGATTAAATCTATGTTGCACTGAAGTTGCAGAACAAATCAGGCCATCAAATTTACTTACATTCACAATAATGGTCAGTTGAAGCTCTGCTTCTCTCATGAAGCCTATTCAAATTCAACTTTGGTGTCTTAAGATTATTGCATGTGTGTAGTATGATAGTAATTTTTTAAAATACAGTCGACAATCTCTCGTTTGGACGCCATTTAACTTAACACTTGTCCAACATAAAAAAGTCTGAACCTTTTTTGTTTTTAATACACAATTAAAAGAAAATTTTCAAACCACACACTCTTTGTGGCCATGGCCAAAACTAATAAGTTACAGTAATTTAGTAAACAACTAAAAAACAGCAATAACAGCATATGCGATTAGTTACCACCAAACTGTTTATTTTTGGTCTTTTTTTTCGTTGCCACAGACAAAGCGGCACATGTGTACAAATGTGAGAATCATAGACAGTTTGGTCATTGAATCAAATAAACCCGAACAAGAAGGTGTATACTGTAATTAAAAATTAAATTAATTCAGTTGCATCTGATTAGGAATGTATTTTGCATTAATGATTCTCTGTGTTCAACAGAGTTGATCAACTTCACGCAGCCAGTGTACGTGTGGCGAGATGATCCCCACTCTCGACAGAAAACCATCCAGCAGATCATAGACAGAGCGACATCACCTCTGGACTGGTCTCAGGTAAACTAAACAAGCACAGTTACTTAGAGAATACCCAATACCCTGACCTCAACAAAGTAGCTTACAACATAGCATATGCATCTATTATTATTATTATTATTATTATTATATCTGACAATATTGTCTGTAAAAGAAACACTTTTTTTCAATAAGAGGCGTATGAGACAATGGGGGTACAACCGATTGACAAGAGGGGAAGGGTGTTTGAGGAACTCCACCATCTAATTCTAGGATAGGGAAGACAGTGAATTCCTTTGAATACATGAGGATGTCCATCCCTACTTTTGACTAAATTTTGAGCAGATTGAGATAGAGGATATGTGAGAGAAGTGTAGGTTCACAACAAAATTGGAAGCACGACTCATCTCGGTGGCAAGCAGAGTTTTGGCAAAAATCTGTCTGGACTTGAAACCATGAGCGGCATCTGGTGGTGTCCTTAATTGTCGCGCATCACTCAGACATATCGTGGCCACCAACAAATTTAACTAAATGAGACTTGATGTCAGAGCAGCTTCGCTCGCCACTCATCGCTTCATCGCTCGCCAGGCGTACAACAACGCTTCATTCTATTAAGTTATTTCTTTTTTAATCTCCACAAAATTGTTATAAAACAACTAACTATAGAGGTTAGGGAAATAGTTCTAATCCAAAATGGTTATTTTAATATTTTATTAAAAGCAATTACCATTATTGCTTTGAATACAAAGTAATTTTTTTGAGTTCTGCAGAGTGTTTGTAGCTGGATTTTCTTTTCAATTGATATTTTTTTTTCTTTTATGATTAACATTTTAACTGTGATTTCGCTCAGTTGAGGAAATAGGTAACCTATACAACATTTGATTGATCCAGTGATCCAGATGCTAGTTCATAATGACATTCGTATTCTGATGTAGTATCATCATCGACTTTTGGATACTAGATTAGACATCACATCTTTATGAACCAGCTGTATCTGATTATTCCATTCAAAAAGGCCGATGTTAAAGCAGTTGCTTAGAGTATACTACTGTAAAAGTTCTGTTTTCTCTTTTAGTTGTTGGTATATTGTTTGATGTGATATAAAAGATGGTATGGTTTACAGAAAAGTAGTCTTTTAGTTTAGCATGATTATGTATGTGTGTATGACACAAATCAATAATTGACAAAAGCACGCTCTGACAATTCAAATTTGCTAATTTTCAATCTACTCGGTAACAAATTTTACATGGAAATGGGACTACTTCTCTCCACAGTCAGAGAGAGACACTAAATGCAAATATTTACAGATGCTGATATTCCCTGAGGGGACATGCACCAACAGGTCGTGCTTGATCACATTCAAGCCCGGAGCGTTCTACCCGGGTGTTCCTGTGCAGCCAGTGATCCTGAGATACCCCAACAAGCTCGATACTGTCACCTGGACTTGGCAGGGACCTGGCGCGTAAGTTGTCCTGCAGGAAATATTTTTTTCAGAAATCAGGAAAATCAGTGCATTAGATTTGCATTTAAAACTTAACTATTGAGAAATATTCAAATAGTTTATCATTAAGTTCTTTGTTAGGTAAGTGGTTCCTTAGTCTAATAATTAACAATTATACAGACTTTAATGGAATAGCAAATACAGTTGTCTCGATTGTATGCTGTGATGTCAAGAGAAACAAGGTTTGCAGTGGGACATTAGTGTTGTAAGTCAATGTTATAATGATGGTTATAATTTCGTAGAAAAACATCAGATTTCGGAAAAGATTTGAAGATGGTTTTTATTTAACCAACCCAGGCATTTTATTTTGTGGCTGAATTCCCTACTTATTGTAATAATTAGACAGATTTTTACTTTATTTTCATCAATTTAGCTATACATACCAATTGTTAGGTATGTTTACTTGTGTTATTGTTACTTAGAATGTTGATGCTGGTTCACTTAAGCCCATAATGTTGTACAAGGTTGAATAAAGATGTTTTAAATTATAAGTTTAAATGTCTACTTCACTGTATCTTAGTGTATATTATCAAAGGCATCGTTGACACACTTCTGTGGTTTACAGACTGAAGCTGATGTGGCTGACGCTAGTGCAGCCCCATAGCAACTGTGAGATTGAGTTCCTACCTGTGTACAAGCCTAGCGAGGCAGAGCGCAGAGACCCCAAGTTGTATGCTGAGAATGTGCGCCAGCTAATGGCACGAGCGCTCGGTGTCCCCACGGTGGAGTACACATACGACGACTGTCAACTGGTCGCTAAGGCCTCTGAGCTCCAGATACCTCGCTCGTCTAGTGTCTTGCGCATCGTCAAGAGCAGGATCAGACTAGGGTGAGTACATAGGCTTCAACTACTGTATTATTATGTGAAGGGCTGTATTTGAGGTGGATGTGGTGGCATAAGCTTCCATAATACCTCTTTGGCTGAAAAAAAATTAGATTTTAAAATGTTTTTAGTGTTTTTATTTTCATTTTCAAACTAGATATACCTAGTAATGGTGTAAAACTAGAACTGGAAAAAAACCAGAACCATCCAAACCTACTTGAACGTAAGGATTGGATTTTCTTGCTCTTTGTTTAAACAAACCGAAAACACAAATCTGCAAAGGATGAATATGCTACTGGATTGCTATAATTGAAACCAAATGAGAGCTCAACAAAAAAATCCGATCATGCTGGTTCACGAACTCATTAAAGATTATCCCGCCTTACACATTCAAAGTAAATTTCATCGAAATTGAACAAAAATTACTCGAGTTATCGCATTTACGTTCACATATATATGCATATATTATAAAAATTTGAACGAATTGTGTTTTTAGCCTTTCTGGGGACATGAAAATGAAAAACTAAATCGGTCCCTCTGGCTCAGTTCTTACCATGAGACCTACAGTAATAGCTACTTCCCCTTTAGGGAAATTCGCTAACAAGCTCATATGTTGGTGTCTCGGTGTCTCTATTTTCTTTACGTCATTGCCAATCAGCCAATTATGCATTAGTGCATAGTTGTGAGGTTTAGTGTTATTGGGAATTTATTGTTATTAAAAAAACTCAACATGGTGTTTTCACAATACAGTATCAAAAAGTATGTACCGTATTTAGTAGGTTAGGTTAAAGGTAAATCTTTTGTTTTTCTTTTACCAAAAAAAGGATTGAAATTTGGTTTTCAGGTGTGAATCTAGTACCTTATGAATAGAAAATATTTATGGATTTGGAAAAACTTTAAGGAATCCGGAACGGTAGAAAAAAAAAATTAGACCTACGTACGTATTGGTACTCTATTTGAGATGATTATTCAGTGAGACAGATTGCGTGTACTAAATATATAAAGGCTACTTACAATAAAAGGTCTAAAGGTCTTCGCAATCCTGGTTATTAAGCACTACGGGCGTTTCAGAGATACTCCATCATCGGGTGCGTAGTCATTATACAGTTTTTCTCAGTTTAGTGTATATGATGACTACGCACACGATGATGGAGTTATCTCCGAAATGCCCGTAGTGCTTAATAACCAGAATTGTGAAGACTGTAAGTATGCCTTTCTATACATACACAATTTGAGTTTGCGAAAACACGTTGATTCTTACTTACAATAAACCCCTGATAACACAAAACCTCATAAATAAGTATGCAGCAATGCATATTATTTAATTGACAATGAAGTTAAAGAAAACAGGGATTACCAACATAAATAAGCATGTTTCGTTGCTTAAGAGTCTCTCACAATACTTGTAATTTGGGCTGCGTTTAAAAAACACCCTTTATGTATGTCTGTAAATGTTGAGTTTGATCTGTCTAATAAAAATTATTTTGTAGGCTGACAAGGAACCAAAAAGAAGAAAAGCTAGTGTCAGATGACCCTGACTTGCTCAAAGGTGACGAGAGAGTGGACTGCTCTACCTTCGCAGAGAGGCTGGGAGTCTCACCTACTGACCCTGCGTTGAAGGACCTCTTCGCTCTTCTCAGTCCTGATGATAAGAATCAGGTGAGTTTTTACAAAATATCCATAGTTTATTTAGCTAAAAAATGATAGTCATTGGAAAGGAGAAGTATTCTTAACAGATTCAATAGATTCTCAGAGGTATCGAGATAAAAATGCAGACACTAGATTTTGGATAGTGAGTATTTTGATGGTAGAAATCTGTATGTGAGTGCTTGGCAGTATCATACTTTTAAAATCTGAATGATTTTTGATTATATTTTAGTGAAAGTCCTACTGTATTTTTATCCGTATTTACTCTCAGTTGTTATTGACATCAGTTATATTATTTGCAGGGAAATGTATTTTGCCCAATTCAGAACAGTGTACTCTCTAGTACCATATCTCAAGCTCAACATCAGCTATTATAAGCTATTTTAATATGTTCAATGCGGGTAACGAGTAATCTCGTCATCGCTGGCGTTGCCAAGCGGCGCGCGACGAGTATACTCGTCAAAGCACCACTACAAAATTATTGCCTAGATATGAGCTGAGCCATCGACAGAGGATGTTGTTTTTCGTTGGGCTCTATGTCCTATGTCTTTCCTCAGGTGGTTTCGTTCCCGTCACGCACGGTTTTTGTTATTTGTGTGTATGTTTTTGTGTTTTAGTGTGTTATATGAGGTAAGTGTTGTGCAATAGTGAATGGTTATGGCTAATTCTTCACGGGTTGATGACTTTCTCACTGAAGATGAACTATGAGATGCGGACAACAACTGTTTACAACACAAACTAGGATTACTTTTGGTGTCAGGTCCGTCAGTTCTACATGGCAGCCAAACGTGTGCGGCGCATGACGAGGATTCCTGTCACGAAAAATGACGTCATATATTGAAAAATTTGACAAAATAACACCAAATCAGCCGAACGACATTTGGGAAGTTAATTTGAGTTTACATATGATATAGCCAATGGAATTTTTTGAATTTGAATTAACCACAACAAACCAGGTTTTTTTGAGAAACTGTAGCAACTCTTTGTTTGTCTTGAATGACTCCATCTGTACAATTTTTATAAACTGATGCATGATTGTATACAGGTTGATTTTGCTGAGTACCTACTTGCAGTATTGATGGTTGAACGTTCAACCACACAAAGCGAGATGATTTCTCTGGCCTTTGAACTGTGTGGAGATGATTTTCGTCTCAGTAGGCACAAGGTTGGTCAATATTATCAATATTTAAAATGTATCATTAATTATTTAGGTATTCCCAGTTTCAAGAACAATATAACTGAAAGATTTCTTTTGGTTGTGGTTGGTTTGGAAGAGTTCTTTTGGTTGCGTTGCCAGATTCTTGCCGTTATTGAATTTTTAGCTCAATGCATTTCACCACTATTTGTGACATCATCCATAGCCTATATATATATTTTTAAATTAATAAACATTTAATATTAATTTAATATATTTTAATTGTGCTCCTGAGGATACCACACATAGTGGTGAAATGCATCGAGCTGTAAATTCAATAACGTCATGAACCTGGCAACACAACCTAAAGGTAAACTTTGTGTGATCATTAATTCTTGATTAATACATATCGTTCAATTTTGAACGAGTAGCACCAGTTCTAAGGAATCAATAGGAAAAGGTGAGATGGTCACCGCCAGGGCCGTCCCTAGGGTTGTCGGCGCCCGGAGCAAACGTGGTCGTGCCCCCCCCCCCCCCCCAGTTATAGTCGCATTTGCATATTTTAATACTATGTTAATACATAGCCCAGGGCAGACTGCCCCCCCTTCGGACGGCCCTGGTCACCGCCTAGGCTCGATGTTCATGTAAACATGCACAAACTGGTTTTCACCTGCGAAACCAACAGTCCATCTATGTATCTAATTTGTTTTGTTTATTTTGTTAACTGTTGCTTTTCCTCTAATTTTACTATCAAAACAGACCGAGAAAATTATAAAAAGTAACCTAAAATAGGATAAAAACGCTGTCATTTAGTCAACAACACACATCACACAGTAAAATATGGTTTTGGATTTTATTAAAGCCAAAATTATAATGTTATTGATTAATTTTTTTGATATTTCAGGTGGCTTTAATACTAAAGTTAGTCCTTCAAATGGAAGATGTGGAGGCAACTAAATTAAGCCTACAAATACCAGCTGACGAAGACGGGTGTATATCTGAAGGTGGGTTGAAACTATTATTTTATCTTTTACACCCTGCCATAGATTAACCCATGGTTAACCCACTACCCCCAGAAAGACCATATTGACCCTAAGATAAGTAAAACCAACATTTAAAATGTGTGTAATACAATCAATTAATAATCCCTTGGACTCAAACAAAAAATTTAATAAGTCAAAGATTTAAAACTTATTTGCCGTTAAGTAGGGATGGACGGGATTGAATTTTTAATTCGGAACAGGACAGGACAGGATTTGTATTACCTTCCCGATTTTCGGGACGGGACGGGATTTTTTTCCTGTGCAAAAAAGGGTTTGTTTTAAAAGTCTTGAGTATTGCAGTAAAAAAAAGACAAAAAAATAAATTTTTACCGTTTGTGGCACTGTTCTATAAAAACCAAAAATGGGTAAAAATTTACAGGTGTAGAAAAAACTTTGTGACAAAATAATATTATATCTCTGGTATAATTTTACTATAAAACATCTTTCAGTCTCATAAAATACCTTGTATTGAAACAGACTATCGCTCACTGGATTTAAACTACTGTGTACAGTTCTATGGCCTGATTTGGTTATAAGTAGAAAAGCAGTTTAGCTTAGTAAATGCTAAATTTTACATGTATAGAGCAATATTACTACCTAACACAATTTTGTGACCTCATGTCGAAATGACCCAAAATCTCAGGACCCGTCAATCCCTATCCTTAAACATATTATGATAAGATGGTTTATTTTAAATTGCAATCATAAAATTGATTTTGGAACTTGGTAATATCACAGAAAACATACTACTATATAACCCAGAATGCCAACCGCATGGTAAAAAGCGTTAAGTACTTTGAGAGAGCTTTGCTTGTCAATTCGTAGGCAGCGCCATCAGCATTGCTATGCACTCAGCGCTGCCTATGAATTGACAGGCAAAGCTCTCTCAAAGTACTTAAAGCTTTTTGCCATGTGGTTGGCATTCTGGGTTATAGTAGTATGTTTTCTGTGGTAATATTTGATACAGCAGGTAAGAAGTGGAACTGAAGCTAAAGAGTAATAAACATGTTCGTATTTTTAAAATCATTAAATGTTCATAATTTCTTTACTTTAAACTACATGAAATTCTATAATCAATGGTGAAACGGTAGTCCTAAACCTTTCTTGAAATCACAGCAATGATTCCACTATTTAAAAATTAAATGTACTTTAACAATTTTGGTGGCAATTGCTACTTGTTGAACCATTCTTGTGTTATTACAGAACAGTTTGAGTTGTTCCTGGACTCGAGGCCAGAGCTGTTACAAAGGAACACTGAAGACAACAGACACAACAAAAATGACTGACCCTTGGAAACTTCTCCACCCCCCACTCTCCCCCCTCCTGTATTGTGATAAGGCTGTGCGACTGTACATACCACCTGAGATGTTAAATGTTTATAGTTAAGTTATGAAAAATAAATGTTATGTTTTACAAAGTGCCTTCTTGTGAACCCTCAAAGATGTAGTACTGTAGTAGTAATGGCTGTTGAATACTGAAGTAGACATTTCTGATCTATATGGACCAGCTGTACCCAATTGTTTTATTCAAGAAGGACTTTGTTAAATGAGCAGTTCACAGCTAGTAGCAGTATCTGTCAATGGCCATGTAGCTCATTGATTCAGAGTTGCTATGAACAAACAAATACTGTAAAAATTAATAAATCAAGTAAGATTTTCAGTAAGTAGTTTTATTCATTCACAGAGCAAATACATAACATGATAGATAGTGTGGTGGGGGAAGACAGTAAAAGAAATCATGGTTTCATGATGAAAGTATCTCAAAGACTTGACTGATTCTTTCCCTCAGCTGATCCATGTTTTTTCAAAGTGCAAATTAAAATACAAGTACTGTCTCGCCTTTGTATTTAACACAAGTAAAGCAACTTTGATGCTACAGAACAGTCACGAATGATCTGCATTAACCTAGAAAATGAAAATCACACAGTAATAGGTTGGCTGCCAAGTGCCAACCATTGGCAAGCTGGACGAGTTGGCGGCAGAATGTAAACAATAGCAGTGAGCCATGGTAATTCTGCTCATACATTACCTAAGCATTACCTATTGAAAGTCTTTGTCATTATTACAATGTTTTGAAATTGACATAATTGTGTCATAGCACAGGTCAAACTCAAATCAAAAGTAATTTTATTTTATACTTTATAAACCATAAAAATCCACCTTATTGTGTTTTTATTTCATACTGTAGTATGTTGGTTCAGCATAATTTTAAAAATACTGTATTTAAATTTTTTTTTCAATTTGGGAAGTGTTGAGCATGTTGAGTCATTGTTTTCCGGAATAACATTACCTTATCTTTTTAAAAGATTTTGCATGAAAAAGTATTTGACTTCTTAATGTATTACCTTATCCCATAGCCTCAAAATCTAAGAGACGTCCGTGTTATCCAAGATTCTCAGTAACCGAATTAGTTTTGGTCCCAAAAACCTCGATTATTTGAAAGTGTACTGTCATGATTTTAGCATGAGAACCACTAAAAAATTACTTTTTCTATAGTACAGTCCACGAGAGTCTGAAATTGAGGGAGGAGCCTATTTACCACGAGACTTCAAAGTAGCCAATGAGAACCGCGCGTTGTTGCCAAATAATAATACCAGCTGATTTGAAAATATTGTTTAGTATTTTAATTAGTGTCATCAACGGGCGATATGGCAACGTCGCACTAGCCTTGTCTTGCGATTGGCTGCCACCAACTGCAGACTCTTGTGGTCCCTACTGTAGGTATATTTAAAACGCACAATGAAAATCACATGGTTGTGAATCATATTTATTCATATGAAAGAGTCAAGAAAGTAGAAAACATGTATGTACTGTATTTTTTCAAGGCTATAACTACTTTTACCTAACCCGCCATGTTAAACTTCCCTATCCCAAGCGTGATGTATATAACTTCGTTACTTCTCGAGTGATGTAAAGTTGAAAAAAACTCACTCGGTGATGTAATGAAACCCATTGAAATAACATTGAGTGCTTAACTTAAAAAATATACCTCTATGGAGCCAACGACGTTCAACGCTAGAAATCAGCTGTGCGCTTGAATTTTATTGTTATGTTTTGAAGAATTTTCTTAACCTAGCTTTTGTTTGTAAACGAACGTTACTGTTAGAAGATGAGTGAAATGGATAATGAAAAATATTGTTCGTAACCTCCTTTATATTGTCGGGTCAGGTAAAATCTTGTACGTTACACGTTACGCAAGAGCGTGTTTTCATCACTTCGGTAATCTAACATTCACCTGCGTGATGTAAAAACGCTCTTACTACACTTGTAAGGTAAATAGCTATTTTTCAAGTTTTACAAACGTTTGTTTCAAAATCAATATGAAATATAATTTAATTTTCAAATAATATTATATTTCTGTGGAAAGTGACAAAGGTTAGTTAGCTACAGCTGTAACAGAGCAATCAAAATCTCAAAGCTAGATGTAATTACTGATTTGGTTGATTTAAAACATGTACACAAATGTTATAGGGCTAAAAAAATTCTTGAAAAATTATATCATAAACAAACAAACAAGGATTTTAGGGTTAGGATTTTTTGTATCCTTAGTTAGATTGACTAATTATTCTAAGCATACAATACATTCAAGGTACATTGTACTTTTTTAATGAATAGAAGGATTATAAACCTCATAAATATTATGTGCTCAATAAAAACACTTTCCACATTATATAAATTAAATATATTGAACTAATTTAACTTGGTCAAATTTATTTATATACTATTTAGACAACTTAAAATAAGACAGTTATATTATTGCAAATTATATTTTACAGTTCAAACAAAACAAACAAAAATATATTTTGCTCTAATTTACAGTTGGTTGTCTTCTTTCGCTCGAGGGTCGAGACTGTCAACAAATGCACTTTATTTCTATTAAAAGGGCAATACAAATTAAAACTAATTAAGGAACATTAGGAGAATGCAAGAAAGTATTGGAGCTTATATTAATTTAGTATCAAAGACATTTAAGAAATTGAGTTACAAAAAACCCAAACACTGAGTTATTATTAATTAAAAACAGTGGTAAATTAAGAATTTGCACATGCAATGGACGAACGTCAATTTCATATTAATTGCTGAATAATCATAAGGGATTGTATGCAGTTTTGATTAATTGATTTTGATTATTTTGAAACATTAAATATTCCAGTTAAACATTGTTTTGTAAATCAAAACCTACTGTAAACAGCAGGTTAGAAACTGCCACAAAAGACTGATTCATTGCCATTTTGTTATTAAATAAATAGGCATGACATGGTCGTCTCCAATATTTTCCTAAACTAAAAGTAAATACAAAAACTATCACATAAGAAAAACTGAACCACAATTACTATTTTCTTCTTTGAAGGAAAACACTTACAAACATAAAAAAAAAAATAATAATATACATAGTGGATATAGTAAAATAAAGAACTTGTGGGTTTTAAAAGTTAAATGAAAACAACTAACTCATAAACGTGACAAGAATCATTTGTTTAAAACGTACAATTGTTTGGATCGCAGGCTTTCCTTAACACGTTAACTGCTGAAAATAACGTACAGGCGCACCCCACTGGCGGGCGAAGCCCCAGCGCACCACCGAATAAGCGAATGCAATTGGCATTCAAATATTTCAGTCTGACGAATCACAAACTAGCAATGATGATTGTGCTGCGTTACCCCAAGAGTGAACATAGTTCACTGAAACACCCAAAGGTAGCAGCACTGCCTGGATCCGTAGTCAGTGTCTTTGTAATGTGGACAAAAGCATTGCCAGACGGGATTTTACAGGAAATTTTAGTGCCAACCTACAACAAAATAAAGCTCGCATTCTAAGCTACAGGTTGGCAATGATTAAAACGTCCTCCGTCTGAGGCTAATCTCACTCAGACTCGATATATTTCAGTTGGTCTGGTGGCGACTTTTGTCGGCTTTAGCAGCGACGCCGGCGTTAGCAGTCAACGTGTTAATGGGAAAGATTCGTTTCAGTACTAGAAAACACCATAACTTTACACAACTGCCCGATAAATTAATGTCACTGTCAATGACAGCATTTTGAACCAACGATGCCTGAAGAACCAGGCAGTTTTATCTGAAGACATAGTTTTTTCTAAACCTAAATCATCCTTTCATGAAAGTTTCAATTTTCTCAATTAACAACAGAAATATCTAAGTTTTTTATACTGTAAAATGTTTTTTCTTGCACCAAGATAGAGTCTTTCCTACGTGCACAACCCTGCTAACCCAACAATTCAAGTTCTTGTGAATTAAGTAAAATGGATTGTCCATGACTTATGTACAAATTATACAGTACAGCTGAGGCATCTCTATTGTTTATCAAGATCAGCTGGCAGATCACAACCCGTATAGCCTCCTCGGCTCACACAATCACGCAGCACCGTGCGCCAGTACTGGTCTCGTGCTAGCAGATGAGGGTTGCCCAACACGATGAGACAAGCCCGAGCTCTTGTTATAGCTACGTTCAACCGGCGTGGAGAGCACACGAACCCCACTGAGTGTCGTAAATCAGTCTCGACCAGTCGAGGGCTGCTCCTGACTGTAGACAAGATTACCACCATCCTTTCTTGACCTTGGAACTCTTCGACCGACCCAACCTTTGGAGGCTCCACTTCCAAGGTTTCTAGGAGCGAGCGGATTTTCAGTACCTGCAAAAAGATAGGTATTTATTGTTTGAGATAGTTATAAAATAATAATGATTTTAGGGATGGACAGTTCCGGAAAATTCTATTAAAGTTAGGGAAAAATACATTCCTGGTCATTAGGCCAAATATGAATCAAATGTTTGCGATTTTGCCCGTGCAATGATGATGACTTGCCTGTGATCGCGGAAGATTTTGCCAGTATGGCGGGTGACAATTATTACGTATAACCACAATTAACTGCAAGTGATGTTTCGATGGTCTGTGATGGTTGATGGCTCCGCTAACCCAGGAAACGATGGTGACATCTCTGTGCTTACGGGAGTTGTTGACGCCGTGACTGCGAGACATGTTGACAATAGCGCTACGTATGCGGTACTCGTTTATAATGGCACCTAAAACGGGGGTTATGTTTTTTGATGGCCTTATGGTTGCAAAGATGTTCAAGATGGTGCCATGATCACAGATTATAGTCACAATGACACCCATTCATTACACAATTTATGATTATTGAAGCTAATACTGCTTTTTTATACTAGTAACTTAAAACCCAACACAGTTTTAAAAAAAACCGTATCGGCAATCTGACACATACTTTTTCCTATTAGCTTGTTAACAACCTTTATCATTTGTTAGCGAGGAGAGTAACTAACTATGATATTTAAGTAAAAGCATAAAAGTTGCATTAACTTTTGAGCTGTAGTTTTTACAGGAATAGGGGGTTGCACTACTTTGTTTAGAATTATAACAACCATAGCAGACAAATTTCAATCAGAATTGGTTTTTTTTTCTGAAAAATCAATTTTTCCGTTTCTTCATGGGTTTTTATGGGAAAATAACATAAGTTACAATAACTTTGAACCAAAATGTTTACGGGAATGGGAATTTGTATGGTTTTGTTCAGAATTTAATGAAACCCTAACATACTAGGCTAATTTGCAACAAACCCGGCTTTTTTTGAAATTCCGATTTTTACTTTCTCCCCCTATACCATAGTATATGGAGAAAGTATTGTTTTCGTCAAAATTTTCGAGTTTGAGTTTTGAGTGGATATATTCGTTTTGGGTCCCCCTGAACCCAAAAAAGTGGTTTTTGAAGTGATGTCTGTGTGTGTGTGTGTGTGTGTGTGTGTGTGTGTGTTTGTATTCACCAAATAGTGGCATCCTTCACAGGCACACGGCCGTACTGTGGCACCTTCAAAAATTGTGGCACCTTTTTCAGGGTGCCACAGCTAATTCGATCATTTTTGAGGTTTTCCAGCATTATTACGTCGTTTAAACATCACATGCCACAATTGAGTATTTTTGAACTCGTTGATGTGAGTTTAAGTAGCGCAGGTACACACCGAATTGTGGAACACGAAACCATACAGGTAGCTAGCGCGCCTCGCGCCGTCCTCCGGAACTATAACTTTCCTAATGCTACGTTGCCAATTCTCGCGCCAGCCTACACTCGAAATAGTGGCACCATGCCACAATTCAGTATATATCAACAGTGTGTGGACAGGATGCCACTTAACGAGCTGTAGAGCTTGAGCAGTGTGTAGAACAGTGCAACAAGCAACTAATAAACTAATAATACTATACTGCCACGTACTATAAAACAATTTAAGTACCATAAATAATATACTTTTGCTCCGAGTGGTGAACAATGTTTTACATTACAAATAATTTGTGTAGTAAATAATAATTTAAATTGATTTACCTAACCCGCCATGTTAAACTTCCCTATCCCAAGCGTGATGTATACAACTTCCTTACTTCTCGAGTGATGTAAAGTATCAAAAACTCACTCGGTGATGTAAAGAAACCCATTTAAATAACATTGAGTGCTTAACTTAAAAAATATAACTCTATGGAGCCAACGATGTTCAACGCTAGAAATCAGCTGTGCGCTTGAATGTTATTATTATGCTTTAAAGTATTTTCCTACCTAACCTAGCTTTTGTTAGTAAAAGAACGTTACTGATAGAAGATGAGTGAAATGGATAATGAAAAATATTGTACGTAAACCCATGTTTATTGTCGGGTCAGGTAAAATCTTGTACGTTACACGTTACGCAAGAGCGTGCTGTTTACATCACTTAGGTGAATTATGCAACTCGCTTCCGCTCGTTGCACAACATTCACCTGCGTGAAGTAAAAACGCTCTTACTACACTTGTAATGTAAATAGCTATTACGCAACCATTAAAAAATTGATTTTTGTTTACAAACATAAATTGGTAACGTAGTTATTTTGTATCAATTGAATTTGTACACTGAAACGATAACAATGTTTGAGGTTAGAACGCTATATAAGTTGTCCTAGACTGCTTTTTATATCTTACAAACTATTTCGTGCTGATACATCTATTTTTTTTTACATTTTAGTCATGTTGACAAAATATTTTGCAATTACATTTCTGAATCAGTCAGTAAAGGTAGATTTCGATGCATCATTGCTGAAAGTTATGTTTTGCTTCTCACTCTCAGAGTATTCCAAAGACATCTAATGTTTCAATCCATGTTCAAATGTTATATGAGGTAAACATATAACCGAATCAATTAAAGTACTTAAATTAAAATACATATTATTATCAACACGCATAATCTAGTTCAGATTATAATATCATCTCACAATCATATTTGTAAAACCTACTGTGGTGTTTTAACCAGTCCCCACTAACAAAAGCATAAAATGAAAGGTCCTAAAGAGGTTAACATTGAGTCATAACAAAAGTAGTTTAAAAGTTGTAACCGTGATACTGTAAATAATTTGATATTGTTAGATATTATACGATCGTTTTACAATTTTGTCAATCTATCTGTTACTTTCACACAAATGTATTTTTATTATTCAATGTTTTGTTTTGTAGAACCTTTAGTATTCTCAACTTTATTAATAACTAGTAGAATACCCGACCTTCGTACGGGGTTGGCATATAAGTAGAACATGATCATTGCAGTGATGGGAGAGAAAACGGTCTAAGAAAATATGGTCTTTTAATTTATACGGTATCCTATAGTGTGGCACACATATACCTATAATAAAAGAATGTGTTTAATGGTATACACTGTAAACGAAAACCTATCACAATAGTTCCAAACATGTTAATAGGGCAATTTTCTAACATATTTTAGTGAAATTATAATCAGGCAAACGGGAATTGGCTCAGTCTATAGGTTTGCTGGGGCAGGGGGATTATATTACTGTTTACAAACAAATAAATCAAAAGAATATACCCCATAACTCAGGATAAGGGCCTAGGTTGATAGGGCAATATAGAATGTTGATTATTTCCTATATCCATTGAATGATTTATTTTAAAATGAATTATTATAAAAATAAATAAATAATATTACAACATTTCACAAATATTATAACAGACTCAGTATAGTTAGATCATAAACAAATGAAGTACTGTAACTGAAACAATCCTATAATAATTATTTACATTAACATATGGTTTGACAGCTCCTTTAGGTAATGTTAAATAAATTCAGGCTAGTGACATCATTATTTTAAATTTATAATCCTTAACCTCTCTGTTCTAATATTCATGCAGTATTTAATAAGGTTTGAACCAGCAGTGTTGAATTGAGAAATCAAAATCAATTTGACTGTTAGTTCTGCTTGTTTACATTTTTAAACTTACTAGGTTTGTTCTTTGTTACCATGGATACCATCAATCAATATTTACTTTTAAATCTCTCATCTCAGATTTTTGAAAGCCCACGGGGCAAAGCCCTAGGTGAATATCGAAGCGGTAATAGTTCTATATGTATCCTAGGAGCTGTAGCTTCATTTGTGTGCAATTTGAGCATAGTCGGATCAGTATTTTTTGAGATTAGCTCATACAAACACACACACAGACACCCCCTCTTCTTTATAATAGTATAGAATATAGAATATAGAATATAGAATAGAATAGATAGATAGATAAACCTATTTCAACATACAATATCAGTTTTAGGAAATTCCTAGTAAGGTTGTTAGAAGTATATTGGCATCCGTGAAGTTTGTGTAATGTTTTTTAAAATCACTGTGGGATATATTTAACTTCACTTATTATTTATTTAATATGTTTTTACTTCTTGAAATTCTCAGTTAACTGGGAGGCGGAGCAAACAGTTTGTTCTAAAATGAACTTGAAAATTGTAAACAATCTTTTTCTGTTGGTTTACTTAAAGTATATAATGTTCTACTATGAATGCAAATCTTTAATATAGTCTAAATTTCCAGTCCCACCCTCAAAAACTATGATATTTAACAGTTGAATCTTTATAACGTATAAACACATTATTTTTAATCGGTCATCAAACTGATTCTTGAATTAGTAGTTGCAAGAGTACGCAAAACTGCAGAGAGTCCTTGAAAATGCTTGTGCAATGATATAGTTTTAAATTATAAAAGAAACCCTTCAAAAAATTGTATTAACAGGACCAGAGGACCAATATGCACATGGTATTTCATTTGTATAAGGCAAAAAGTTCAAATCATATTAACTTATGATTGCCAATAGATTTTGGGTTTCCTTAAAACAATTATATAAAACTGTCTGCAAATGTCAATAAAACTGATTTTATAAGAAATTGTAGATTCTTCTGTTGCTCTGTAGGCGACCATTTTGGTCACACAAGGAAGTCCAAACTTATATCTTAGTTTGAACAACGTCATCTTGATTTTACATTGCTCAAGATACATAATCGACACATAGGCTTTCAAAAAAAATAAGTAAAGAAAGTAACTAGTGATGGACCGCGCAGACATAGGAACAGTCTAGACTTGCCTCTTACTGACGTTTTCCAAACGAATATAGAAGTTAGATCTACATTCTTCATTTTAGGCTTGAAATAAATTTGTTTGTGGGTAAGAGCGAATGAGTAAGCATGAACAATAACCCTTCTCCCCGACACGCTACCATACCACAGCATCTTACTAGCAGAGCTCAAGGTCATTGACGTAATTGTAATGAACTAAATTTAGACTTCCACCCCCAATGTTACCAATGGACCCTAGAGGTTG